AAAGAGAGAGAGAGAGAGAGAGAGAGAGAGAGAGAGAGAGAGAGAGAGAGAGAGAGAGAGAGAGAGAGAGAGAGAGAGAGAGAGATTACTTTCTTTTGTTTTCTCAAGCAATGAATTTTGGGCATGCGCAATGCAATCTGATGCGAACATCTATGTCTGCGAACCGTTTGATGAAGATGACAAAGTTAAATTGGAAGCACTCTCTTGGGTCTCACTTTACATCTCGAGCACCGGATAACAAATAATGCAATTTGCTCAAAATTTAATATTTATGCTACTCGGGGCATGTCATATGGACTGGTGGGTATATCAACAATGCCACACCTTGCCCGTGCTACATTCTTCTGGCGCATCATCTTGGCGAACGATACCCATGATGGCAGCCCTTCTGCTAAAAAAAGGTCCAAACTAGCCCTGCCCTGCGGCCGAATTCTCATTAAACTAGCCATACCCTGTCCACGAGACAACACCTTGCCTGTGCTATGTTGCGGTTGGCGTATCATCACAGTGATTGACGATGTGCCATTCTAGTCCTTTCCCTTAAAAATGGCCGAGCCTATCCCACTGCTGCGAGTTCAATTCCAAGCATGGTGCCCAAATGGAGCTCTTTCTTAAAAATTAACCCTGAACTCGGCATGAAGTAACATTGTCCCATAACCCCTTCAGCCAATCCAAAGAATAAGCTACCACGAGGCCTCACAGCTACCACAAGGCCTAACCTTTGACCTTTGACAGCTTGGCCCCTCCTCGCACAGATGGGCCCAAATTGACCGGGCCCCACAAAGCAACCACAACGAACCGGCGAGACATGGAGTTCATGGATTCTTTTGCTGCGTAAAAAACCCTCAACACCTTGTCTGTGCTATGTTGCGCTTGGCGTATCATGACAGTGATTGACCGATGTGACACTCTGGTCCTTTCCCTTAAAAATGGCCGAGCCTATCTCACTGCTGCGAGCTCAATTCCAAGCATGGAGCCCGAAGGTACCGGAGCTCTCTCTTAAAAATTAACCATGAACTTGGCATGAAGTAACATTGTCCCACAACCGCTTCAGCCAATCCAGAGAATAAGCTACCACAAGGCCTCAGAGCTACCACAAGGCCTAACCTTTGACCTTTGACAGCTTGGCCCCTCCTCTCACAGATGGGCCCAAATGGACCAGGCCCACAACGCAACCACAACGAACGAGGGAGACATGGAGTTCATGGATTCTTTTGCTGCGTAAAAATCCCTCACACGTGACACTTTCACACCTCTCGAAAACGAACCCCAAACTAACACCTGCCCACAATTCTGGCAAAATTGGAGGCCCACATACAAAACCAGTCACTCCCCAAAAATGCAAAACGTTAAGTTTTCACGGACGACACGACAGTGCAAGAGGAGCAACACCTGTATTATATGCAGGTCCATGACAACCAACCCGGTCAAAAAAGACCCTTGAATTGCAACTCGCTGGAAACGGGACCCATGCTGCCCCCTAAAAGCCCACATTTCCCCCACAGATTAGTGTTCGCTGAACTCTTCGGGTGCATGGTCAACACCACCTTCATATGCGGCATCTCCTCTGTAGCATCGTCAAAACAGCCGCGCCCCGTGCCGATGTGGTTCTTCCCCTCCCCAAAGGTCCCAAACGAACCCCTCCTACCCCAAAACCTCCGGGAAAACCAAAGAGGAAGTTAACACGCAAAAGAAGCCCCATTGCATGGAGCTCTACAATTTCTCTGACGGCATGCACCTGAGGAGAACCGACACCTTCATTCTTCGAATGTATCGCAGGACGACCGGATTGTCATATGTAGCAACATGCGCACACCTCAGACAAAGGACTCCATATTCAGGGGGACTTGAGAGAAAGTTAACAACTTGTTCAGGACCATTTGTGGCGAGCGCCTCATTCTCCACCCGAGGAGAATTTAGAGGGGTTCTTCACATGAGTTGTATGCCCCGAACACATCAGCGTGTACAGATGTGTGTCGGTCCTATCATTGCCCTGCAAGAATAAGACGGATGCTGTGCAGCAGTCCAGCCTCATTCTCCATCCGACGAGAATTTAGAGGGTCCTTCACACGAGTTGTATGCCCCGAACACATCAGCGTGTACAGGTGTCTCCGTCCTATCATTGCCCTGCAAGAATAAGACGAACCATGTGCAGTAGTCCCGCCTCATTCTCCATCGGGCGAGAATTTAGAGGGTCCTTCACATGACTCGTATGCCCCAAACACATCAGGGTGTACAGATGCGTGTCGTTCCCATCATTGCCCTGCAAGAATAAGACGGATGCTGTGCAGTAGTCCTACGCCCCTGCAGTACATGAAGGGAACACAGGTGAAAAGGAAACACAACCGTACATGAAGCAGACGCAAATGAGGAGGTTTCCTAAAGTTGTTCCCGAACTGGGTGGGTAAAACCCATTCATGCAACAAACAACTCTGGTCTGCGCTATTTGCGGTACACCATAGGCCTAGGCGAACATCTGCGCCTGCAACAATCTTCTCACTATGTTCATCTGCGATAATGCAACAAAGCTCCAGCGACGACTCCGTTTGCAGCTGATCGTGCATTGGCACGGCACTGGGTCAGCACGTGGACTGAATGAGGTCATTTGCTGTGTCCATACACATCAAACTGACATGATGCTTCGGGACATGAGTTAAAATTGGAACGATACAAGAAGATTAGCATGGCCCCTGCGCAAGGAAGGATGACACGCATAAATCGAGAAATGGTCCGAAGTAAAAGGAGTAGTGAAAAAAACAACGACATGGTGAGAGATTTGTGCTTTCCACAGTCGTGTCAAGTTTGAACTGATAGCAAAACCTGCCTGATGATACACACCCGCCCCTTTTTTAAATTCGCAATCTAATTTTATTTTTTTGTGTCAATTGCTGTGCCCACAAGGCGCTTTCAAAAGTCCACTGAAGAGCTGACGACTATAATGGACGCCATTAATTGCGGGTAGTCCCGGAGATTCTGACTTTTCTTACTTCTTTTTTTCCTGGTGTTTTCTTACTTCTAAGTTCTAACATAGGTTTGACATTTTCAATCGCGTTAACAAAATGCATGATTACTTCCATAGCCAAGCTCTCCTTAGCTAGACAGTTTGAAAGTTTCATAAACAATAGCACGGGGGGGTTGCAGTTGAGAGTATAATGATCATGTCGAAGCTTGTTTCATGGTTGTTGGGTGGTTGGAGAGAGGAGGAGGAGGAGGAGGAGGCGGGAGAACACGCTAGCAAAACCGTGAGTCATAGAGATTCTACTCTAATTGCACTGACGGAAATGATGCTCTAAAAATTCCACGGTGCGGTGTCAGGACCTGTGGTTCCCGAAGCAAGTCCCGGCCCTCCAGACATGCCCTACAACGGGTCCCTAATGCTTGAAAGCGGCAAATTGCCGGCAATCCCCACAGAAAGCACCCCACCGCATCCATTCTGCAAAAAAATGGCCCGCCGAAACCTACATCAACATGTAATAACTTCCTTCTATGCAGCTTTACCAGTCGCGAGACTGATCAGGAATGAGTGCATATCGATGCACAATGCAGTTTGCAACTTTGCACTAGCATATGCTGACCTGCACAACATCACATGGCTGTTCAGCTCGTTGACAACTCACGCTTTTGCTTGCACGTGACATGGAGGTCACAGAGGAAAGGTAGTGCCAAGTAAGTCACACCTAACTTTATGGTTTAACTCGTGAGCACATCCAGGCAGCCAAACGATTGCAACCATGCTCTACAGATGTCATAAATTCCACAATCACCCATGAGCAGACCACGGCAAACTCCAACATGCAATTTCCATTATGCAAGAGAGTTAAGGAAGCGTGTGAAAACGGGTGTACACCACCAGTGCCATTATGCAAGAGAGTTAAGGAAACGTGTGAAAACGGGTCTAAACCTCCAGTGTGGCAAGTGCATTGCACCAGAGTATATTTACCATGATGCCGTTGGCTCAGCTCACCTTTTCCATCCCGTTGTACCAAAGGGACACAGCTACCCATAACCATCAGTGATTTGATGGAACCTCTCTGCTATTTCCATGCTGCAAGGAAGGCAAGCAACACACCCCAAAGCCACACACACACACACACATCCATCACACACGGCACACGCACACCCATTCCACCCACCCACACACACCACCCACCCACAAACACACCCTCTACAACACACACAGACACACACACACACATGCACACAAACCGACCACCAATGATCATACACAGTGCCGGAATGTAAGACAATGAAGATCACACTCGCACAGCAACAACAACTGACAGCACCATACTCATGACGGCATCCATGCGCACACTCTCTCCTTCTTACACCCACATTGCCTCTTCAAATTCCCCTCGAATTTCAAAATCACCTAGGCTATCCTGACACCTAGAAAAAAAACTATGGCCATCCACATTCTGCCCGACCTACGAGGGATAAAAAACTTAACTCGCCTTTCCCTGGATTTACCCCAATATCCAATACACAGTCTGGTTCTCAAAAAGACAACGCTGACGTCAACTACTCTCCTGGTCCTGTGGTCCGTCCTTTCATCCTTGGTATCTGGTTCCCCAAACCAGGTTCTGTCCAACTGCCACTTGCTGGCCAATCCCCATGGCATCGATTTCGTATCATCGTCACAATCTGGGTACCTTGGTGGTTCAATCCAAGGCATTGCTTTCATGCCATCATTATCATCATTAGTGTAACGACTGCACCTCCAAGGCATTGCTTTCATGCCATCATTATCATCGGTGTAAAGACCATGCTGCTCTGTAAAGCTTTCTCTAGTTTGCAGCTGCCTGGTCACCTCCTTGTCAAGGGTCACAATCTGGCGTTTGGCCTACCCCACGGTGGAGAAGTTGTTCCAGGACTTCTGTGGTTCAGGGCGAGGGACAAAACCACGGCCAGCATGCGAGGGTTTAGAATGCAACACAATTGCAATCAGCACAGGTTCAGCAGGATAAAAGCAGGGCCAAGCAACCCCTGGAAAGCTTAGAGCTTACTCCAGTGAGCTGGTTTTCAAGGCATTCAACCGGTGGAGCAGGCGAGTTTCACTGCTTCGCACCTAATTCACACCCGCTACATGCCCTTTACACCTAGTCATTGCGGATAACACTCACCCCCCACCCCCAACTCCCCTCGCGTCTTCACAACAGGATCGTGCAATTGGCAACGTTAACAGATTCTTCTCACTGAAGCACTTGCACCAAGGATGAGGGGATGGTAGCCTTCTACCGTTTCGTTATTTTCTATAAAAGTATGGCGCCACTTCCCTCCCCCCCCCCAACCCTGGAAAACTTAGAACTCACTCCAGTGAGCCAGTTTTGAAGGCATTCAACCAGTCGAACTGGCGACTTTCATCGCTTCGCACCTAATTCACCACCTAACGTGCCCTTTACGCCTAGTCCTGAAGAATAACACTCCCCCCCCTCTCCCCCCATCCCCGTGTCTTCACAACAGGGATCGCTCGATTATCAATGTAACAAATTCTTAGCACTGAAATCCCTGCCACCAAGGATCAAGGGATCGTAGCCTTCTACCCTTACCTTCTATGAGCACATCCTCTGAAAGGACGGAATTTACAATGCGAAGTAACCACTCAATCAGCAATACTCACAGCTGCTTTGCCGTGAAGTTCTGCCCCAAATGGTCAAGAGGTAGCATTGCCCCTTTCAATTTGGTTTCTCTGAAATATATGTTCCGGATAAGAGCAGAGGCCGGGGGAGTTGGGTGGGGCAATTACAGTGTTAACCTTCAGGGCAACAAAAAGTAAAATCGCTGCCAACCGCTTATTATACAATCAAGCGATAAAAGAAAGAGGTCTTCTGCCTGAAGAGGGCTGAGCCAAAGATCATTGGCAAAAATGATCTGACAAATTCCCTTTTTTTCTGTTTTGTTCTGCTGACTGAAGCTCCCCCTTTGCTTATGATAGCCGCTCCACTCCCTGAAACAATGATTCATTCAACCGCTCGATGACCCATACAGACGAGCGTGAGTTTACCCATAACCGGGGTTTATACCTCTGAGTTAATATACACCGGCTAAGTTCACATACCAATCGTGTGGGCTCCATACAGATGAGGTTGTACGGTCTGATGTCGGTCTCTACTTTTGCCCCTGAGATAACTGCCAAACACCGGTAAGGACCTGACTCACTAAAGGCCCCAACAGTACGAACATTGAGCCATCGAGAACCACTGGTCACTGGCAATGAGGAACTGTATACTCCTGTCACAATGACAGCATGCGAACAAGCGATTATCTTGCGTCCATCAGCTCACAAACCTGCCCTTGCGGGACCGATCTGGAACAAGACATTGTCTACACGTGTGTATGTTTGTGTGTGCGTGTGCCAGTCCATGTGCATGTGCATTCGCCTCTGTGAACACGTGCTGTATTATTCGCTACTACATAGAACACCCCAAGCAAGGCCCGACCTTTCGATGACATTTTCACCGATGAATGTGAAGCTTGTACAAAACACCCCAAGCGAAACATTACTTCCATGATATTTTCACCAACTCATGAGAAGCCTGAACTTAGACAGTCTACCCAATGTTCATCACTAAACACACAACACCTCAGGCAAAGCATGACTGTGACAGACTTCCATGGTATTTTCCACTGACTCGTGAGAATCTTGAACTTTGACAGTCTGCCCAGGATGCATACTTCAATAACATCTCCACAAATAAAGAAACCAGGGCTGTGACAGATAGTTTCATTGGACCTTGACCGGCCAGTGCAAGAGTTGAACCTCACCAGTTAGCCACTGATATCCTTCTTTTGACCGACTTAGCGAACTGAAACATCTAAGTAGCTGAAGGAAAGCACATCAACCGAGACTCCGTTAGTAGTGGCGAGCGAACGCGGATTAGGCTCTAAATACCATCCAAGCAAGTTAGAAAAGATTGGAAAGTCTTGCCAGAGAAGGCGATAGCCCAAGGTACGCCTTGAGGTAATAAAAAACTCAAAAAATGAAGTCCATGAATTTAAAATCCCACTATAGTAAGCCCAATAAAAAGAGATAATGAAAGACCAAAGGTGACCACAAAATGGCTTGTCACTGTAAAACTATAAGGCAAGCAAAGCGTGGATGGAGGTGACCAATGTTCTGTTTTGTTGCTGGTATTAGTGAATAAGCAGAAGAGGTTGAACATCGAAGCCCAGATACGGTCTGGTGAGGACGCATGTACGTTACGTTCGAGAACCAACACTTCAAAAGGAAAACCATGGGCTTTGAGACCAACCATCCACCACACTCTCACTCCATACACAGACCAGATGACAGCCACACATCAAAGCACAGGTAAGATGTAACTTAAAGACAGTATCTGTCAACCACCTCAAGCACACAGAATTAGCTTCACACAATTGGGCACAATTGGGCGCACGACTATGGCTGCCTGCAAGCTCTCTCAGGTATGGACGCATAATACCTCAGAATTACTTCTCTCCCCCTCATAATCTCTCTCCCTCTCTCTCTCTCTGAAAGTGACCCAAGTCCGCTCTTCTAGCGCAACCTGGGAACCTCACTCTGCACTTGGCTATGGCTACCCGTTAAGAGCGGCCAGCACCGTAGACTACTCCTAACAGCCAGACTCCGCACGATAGTACAAGCTGCAGAGTCCCCAGGCAACACCCTCCTCAATATCCCAAAATAGCATAACACCGTTTCGTCCCCCACTCACGAGTGAAATATGTCTCGATGGCCTCAACAGCTGCGCTGTTTTGTACTTAAGAATTTGCATATCGGAATGTAGCTACTGGTTATCTGTACGGCGCCCTGCCAACATTTGTCGCTCCGGAAGTTTGCGGGTGATTCCTCCTCTCCACTCACAGACTGCCTCAACAGCTGGGATTTTGTACTTCAGAATTTGCGTATCAGACTGTAGCTACCGATTATCTGTACGGCGCCCTGCCAACGTTTGTCGCTCCGCAAGTTCGCGGGCGATTCCTCCCTCCTCCACTCACAAGTGAAATATGTATCGACTGCCTCAACAGCCGGGCTTTTGTACTCAAGAATTTGTGTGTCGGACCTGAAGCTACCGGTTATCTGTACGACGCCCTGCCAACGTTTGTCGCTCCAGAAGTTCATGGGCGATTCCTCCTCCACTTACAAATGAAATATGTCTCGAACGCCTCAACAGCTGGGCTTTTGCGTATCAGACTTTAGCTACCGGTTATCTGGCGCCCTGCCAACGTTTGTCGCTCCAGAAGTTCGCGGGCTTTCCTGTGACTTGGCTCCTGTTTCCACCAACTGACACCTGGCCTATCCACCTCTGCCGACTTTTCTGTCCTATAACTTCTCTTCCCCACGCACTTCATACCACGGCTTACATAAACCACCACAACCTCCGAGCCTCTTTTTGCTGAGGTGCATTCCCCCTGTGTGCCAAGGGTTGCCGAAGCGCCAGTGTGGGGTTCACCAGCCATCGGGGTCAGGTAGCCCCGAGCCTCCCAAGAACCCGGAACGTCACAATTTTCAACTTCTCAGTTGCCGAGGAAAAGTAATGGTAGTTTAGAGCTAACCTCCTCGGCATCTGTGAACACTGTACAAGTGAAATCTACTCTACCTAAGCATTCATGAATATTGTACATGTGGCTGAGGCCTACAATGGAACTAGGATTGGGCCACAGAGCTGGGACTCGGGACTGCGACTGGAACTCAGAACTGGGTCTTAGGATTGGGAATGGAACTCAGGACTGGGACTTGGGACTGGGACCGCGGCTGCGGTGGCGAAATCCTTTCACAAGGCTGCAACAGAGTTTCAGTGGACTTCCACTGACAACTTGCAAGGTCAAATCGCAACAGTCATTCTTGAACACACCGACTCCCGTCTTTCAACACACCAAACCCCTCCACGAAGTCCTGATTTTTTTTTCCCTTTTTCTTTTCAAAGCTACTCAGGGCAAGGCACCTGAATTACACCGACTGCTGTCTTTCGACACACCAAGCCCCTCCGCTAAGTCAAACCAAATACTTCCCCGGAACTTCGCCCTGATTACTTTTTTCTTTTTGTTTGCAAAGCAACTCAGGGCAAGGCACCTGAATTACACATTGAACAGCGGTTCAGCTGGTACACCCATGAAGTTGGCATGAACCTTTGAAATACAGACCTGAGTTCGAAATCCTGCTGGACCTTGATGAATGGAATAAATCATTCCAAGTTACCTAGCGCCAGTCTGGTGAATGAAGATATCCCAAGGCCCTCATCCTTCTTTGAAAAAAAGAAAGAATGCAAAGCTTCTCCAAACAAAATACATCCAAGTTGGCAACATCTTTCGCAGAACTCGTTGCCCTCACTCAAACCAGCCTCGAGTTCATGTGATGTCCTGTGTTGTGTTTTTTCCCCCC